ACAGTAATGACAGTTGCTGAAGATTGATGTTTCTTCCTATTATACTAGTGGAAATTCAACTCTGAATTTCAGTGAAACTCTGGCTATTGAAATGCAGTGTGATGGTAAAATTTTTCTGAATTCATTTAGAAGACCTAAGGGCTACAACTTCCATTCTAGATTAAACAGTTTACTTTTTATCCTACATTAGATGTAGCAAGAGAGCACCATATCATTTAGTAAGGAAAACCTATTTAAGATATCATTAGTATCCTAAAAATTTGTGGTCGCTGTAGTAACACAGAATCATAGAATCATCAAATGGCTAGGGTAGGAAGGGACCTTAAAGATCATCTAGTCCAACCCCCCTGCCATGGACAGGGACACCTTCCACTAGACCAGGTTGCTCAAAGCCTCAACCAACCTGACCTTGAACATCTCTAGGGATGGGGCATCCATAACCTCTCTCGGTAACCTGTTCCAGTGCCTCACCACCCTCATAAAAAAATAATTTCTTCCTAACATCTAATCTAAATCTACTCTCTTTCAGTTTAAAACTTTTGCCCCTTGTCCTGTCACTACAGGGCCTTGTAAAAACACCTCTCTGCATCTTACTTATAAGCCCTTTGTAGACTGAAAGGCCACATTAAGGTGTCCTGTCAGATTTTTGTTTGCCAGGCTAAACAACCCCAACTCTCTCAGTCTTTCTTTATAGGAGAAGTGCTCCAGCCCTCAGACCATTTTTCTTGGCTCTTCTCTGGACCTGCTCCAACAGGTCCATGTCCTTCTTGTGATGAGAAACCCAAAACTGAATGCAAGTACCCAGGTCAGGTGCCATGAGAGTGGAATAGGGGAGGAGAGTATCATGACAGTATTTTACTTCTGTCTGCCTTAGTGACAGGTTCCTTGGTTCCGCTAGACTGACTTTTAAAGGTTATGTCTGATTTTGTTCCAAAATATAAAGTGACTTTAGAAAAAAAGCTTTTTTATTTTCTTCAGCATCTCACTGGATGGAATGGTTGAGCTTGGAAGGGACCTCTGGAGCTCATCTGGTCCAACCCCCCTGCTCAATCAGGGCCCTGGAGCCCAGGACCACATCCAAAGTTGGAGACTCCATCACCTCTCTGGGCAACCCATGCCAGTGCTTGGTCACCCTCACAGTAAAAAAGTGTTTCCTTATATTCAAAGGAAACCTCCTGTGTCTCAGTTTATGCCCATTGCTTCTTGTCACTGGGCACCATCCTCTTTGCACCCTCCCTTCAGCTATTTATATACATTAATAAGATTTGCCCTCAGCCTTCTCTTCTCCAGGATGAACAGAGCTCTAGTCCCAGGACTCTCAGTCTTTCTTCATAGGAGAGATGCCCCAGTCCTTTAATCATCTTTGTGACCCTTTCCTGGACAATGTCCTGTAGCTCCATATCTCTCTTGTACTAGGGACATATGGAGCTTCATATATAACTCTACCAAATCTTTTAAGATATTTTAAACACAAGTTACATGTAAAATGCATGGGGATTTATTTCCACTCTGTTTCATCTAATTAACATCAGATGATGTTAATACTTTCCTGGCATAACTTGATCCTTAGAAAGGTCAAAAGATCACAGCAGAGAGGCAGTTCAGCTTGTTCAGCTTGCAGGGCATTCACATAATAAAGATAACCAGACAAGGCCCCCACTCTGCAGTTACCTAGCTTGTGCCAGACTGTAATTTCTGAGACTTTTTACACTTAAACAGTTCAGTTGTGATTGTTCCACAAAGGATTAAGTACTGATACGTACTTTTGCTACGGTTAACAGAACAATAACCAGCCACTTGCAAAAGTGGTGTTGAATTAGTGCTTCTTCATATAGCTTGCACGCAAGTCTACAGGGGGCTCCAAAACTCTTTGCAGTGATCTGCTTTGGATTAAATTAGTGTAATGCAATTTACAACAAAAACAATTTCTGAACATATTCATTTCTCTTCCTGCACTCAAACAGGAATGAAGGAAGGGAAGAAGAGAGGAAGGAAGAAAAGGATAATATTCCATTCATTCATTCATTCATCATTTCTTTTTCCATTTTTAGACTGTAAGATTACTTCTCCTCTCACATGAATTATAATTAATAGCATTAATAAGGTGCTTAGCTTACATTGAAAGAAAATTAATGTTATTAGCCAGAGAATAACTCTCTAATGCATGTCACATGGAGTGACATTATAACCGTGAATGCTTTAAACACTGAATTCTGCTAAACACACATCAGTATGCAAAAAAGCAGTAGACATACATAGTCCCAAAGCTTATCCAGAGGCTTTGTACCTCATATTTTTGACATGGACTGTAATTATACTCCTCCACATTGGTTTAACAAGTTACAAACAAGAAACATTGAAAGGAGTATTTCATTCATTTGTCTCATAGGTTTTTCTCCTCTTAGCATGGAGACCGCCTTATAATTGAATTATTGCCCAATTAGGTAATTGATTCTCAATAAACAAACAAATGAAAATAAAGAATAGTCTTTTATTTAGAATTCTCAGTTTGAATGGACTTCTCTGTCTTATTATAAAGGCTGTTCCTTTTTCTCTTACAAATGTCAGCTAAAGCTTTCGTTCTGACCACAGATGATCTCTCAAATAAGGAACAATATTTTATTTGCATATCGTGGTTCAATCTTGATATAACTTATTCTTTCCTGGTACCTGACAGTCCTAACTTCTAACTTTTGTTCTCTCTTTTTTCTTTTTTTTTTTTTTTTCAGTCATTCACAAGGGTTTGCCACAAAATTTCCGACTCAGAAGATAACACATTGTAAGTTTATTTTAGAACTAAGTTGGTGTTTCTTTTCCTACCAGATGCCAAACATTTCTGATATACTATAACGCAGCTTTCCATACACTCATTTTTTTCTTCCTATGCTTGTGCTGTCTTTAATTAGAAGGGTTTGCAACATATTGTTATATCTGGACTATTTTGTTCTTATTGCTTTTGCAAGTTACATTCATCTATGCATAAATAATAATCATTATTATATAATAACAATTGATGCATTAAGACTCATATTTTCAGTGGAGGTTAATGAAAAGAGGTAGTCCCTTCAACTGAAAAAAAAAGAAAAAAAAGTTATTTTATTCCTTCAGACTTCTTTGGAAATGTCAGCCTTAACTTTTTTTCATCATTCTAATAATGGGGGAGAACTAACATTTTCTACCTCCTGGAGCAAATATGAAATCTGTAAACAGAGGAGACAACAAGACATAAGCAAGACCAAGCAGCCAGACCCCCCAGTGAAACAAAATTTAATGCTTGTATATTAGCTTATGACAGATGAGGATCTGTTTCCTGATTGATTAAGCCAGCTCTGGTGCCCCTGATGTTCCTGCAATGGATTATTAAGGACAATACATGAGGAAATTTATGTATCTCCTCTCTGAGTTTGTTTGAAATTCCTATGTTATCACCACTAAATTTGTATCTCTGATTTATCCCAAACTTTTTTAATAATATGCTTCTGTCCTAAGAGCCTGTGGTCATTCTGGAAGACAGTAGTGGTTTTCAGTCTGCATCATTAAATATCAGCTCCTTTGGTTTCCAACTTGCTGCTTAAAACCTGGAAACACTCTCCTGAAGGAGGCAGAAAAATGTAATGGCAGCAGCAAATGACCAATTAGGTTGGAATAAGCTAACTATCATGGAACAGAAAAAGAAATAGTAAAATCAAACACAGACAGTAAGATCAGTTAATGCTCAGTTGCTTACTACAATGCAGATGCAAACAGAAATGACAACACACGCATACTTTTATCTAATGAAAGCACTTGATTCACCAAATGCTGGTAGCCACTGACAGAAGTGATAAAGATTCAGGGTGTAATACAACTGGAGTGAAAGCCACTCTCTCTACAAAACATGGTTTATAAAAGAGGTTTTCTTCACCATTTCCCACACTGAAAACCCTTTGTAAGCGTATCATCATTTCCCACAAGGGTTTTTCCCATTTTTGCAAATACTGCACTAAATACATTACAAATTGATAAATGTACTGTGCTGCCTTTTGTCCTGTAGATTCTGGAGCTAAACTTCTTGATGCAAAATATGCAAAGAAATATACATAATGCTTAACTGCATCTGCTTGCATAGTTTAAAAATATGTACGCACCAAAGCTGAATATCTGTTTATAGCAACTTGATAAGGAAGCAACATTTTCTTGAGGAAAGCAAATTTGCAGAGTTGTACTGTGAACAGAATCAACTTGGGCTATATGGGAAGGAGGAAGGTAAGCTCATTGTTAGCTCCTAAAGCTGTTATTCTCCAATATGATTATTTTCAAATATGAACTGTCAGTTCTTTTCACAGGTGATTATTTCTGGAACCAGAAAGTCAACTCAACACATCTAGAGAAAAGGGAAGACTGTTTAAAGATGTAATGATCTACTGCTCTCCAGCCTCAGAGAGAATGTAAGGCTCTGAAGGGCAAATTGTTTGCTTTTGATATTCCTTCACGAACAGAAGTGGACCTCACCTGACTGATTTCACTAATTCAGAGAACTCACTAAAATAATTAGCAAATTACATTTGCACACTTATGCAATACTTAACATTGTAGTCATTTTATTTGAATATATTTTTATATCAATATCATGTGGTCACTTTTTGAGTTAGTACATCGCTTTATGAAGATAACCTGCAGAGGCCAGATGGCACCCATGGGGTTGAATTCAACCACTCCACTTCAAATGTCCATAGTTGAGGTGTTTATGTCTCTGCTAAGTCCATGCTGTACAGACTACCTTTGTAGTCAAAGAAGAGAGCAGGCATTCATAGGACACAATAAATTTGGTTATAAAGTAGATATTGCAAAAGGTCAGATTATTGTGCCTTTAAATTAACTGTTTCTTTCCCCTAAGTATAAAGGACAAGTACGTCAGATACACCATAGACATCCAAATTGCAGAAGTCTGCATTTGGTGGATGTGAACGTATGACTTTCATGAATTTCCTCAATTGATGTTGGAAGCACATATAACATACCCACACTCCAGTCCATTTCCTCCACTGCATCTCCATATAAACCGTGCTTGCTCTTTCCTCTGAAATTTCCTGAAGCATGAAGAGCAGTATGGACATGAAGATAAGACAGGACAAGAAGAAATGGTGCATCAGTGTTCCTGGAAAAACAAAACAAAACTATACCCCAAGTCTTTAGTATATTTTATAACAAATAAATGTACAAATATTTATTCTACAAATAAATCTTTCTAGAGCAGAGCTCAAAAAAAAAAAAAAAAAAAGGAGGAAAAAGAATACTGTAACTGATTACAGGACAATCCTGAACACACACACACACACACATACACACACAATGTCATTCTTAGCTGTATACTGAACGGAAAGAAAAAAACCCAACAACATCTAATTTATTTGTGTTTGCCATAGATATTGAGAGAGGAATTCTTTAAAGCCAGGAACCTAGCAATTACTGGCTACAAGCACCTCTCTTCATTTTACAAGTATATATTCAAAATCCCAAATACAATTGCTGCTCAAAACCATACCTTCAGAAATGCATATATACACAAAACATATTCCTCACAAGGTCATATGGAAGCTGATCAACTACATTATTATCAGGACCAGGGTCAAACATACAGTAGTATCATTAAGTATGTTAAATCAAGTATACTACTACTTTTCCTCCTTCTTTGTCCTTGACTAAGGAATACAACTAAACCTTCTCTTGACATTTAATGCTCCGTGTGTGTATGCACGTGGTCAGTGCACAACACTACAAGTATGTTGTACTAAAGAATACGTAATCTCAAAGTACATACTAATAAAAAGAATTTTTTTTTTCTCACAGTAATGAACAGTCTCCATTGTCTTCAGTCTATTTCCTGAACTGATACAAAAGAAAAAATGCAATAAATGGACTTTGTAAATTTTGCTGTTCATGTGATCTGTCAACATGATATTTATGTTCAGTTCCAGCAGGCTGTGAAAGCACAGCTCAAGTAAGAACTGTTTCTTATGCATTATTTATAGAACTTTATTTAAAATTGTGCAGTACTAGCCAAATTTATTGCTATAGGCTCTAACAGCATTTGTAGTACATTACACATACTGTAAATATCAGTTGAATCACAAAAGCACTACCGAAAAAACTTGTCTGGATCTCACCTTAAAGCACATGGCTAATTACTGAGTATATTTGGCTTTATTTAACATACCTTCTCCCATCAGTCTGTGGTGGAGAATACCTGTGATTCATGCCAACATCAAAGGGACACTATATATTTCCTCATGCAGCTGATTCATCCAAACTTTAAAGGGGGAATGAACAATACAGACATGCACATGCAAACTGTCTCTTTAAAATAATTTAAAAAAATTATTAATCTTTAGAACCTGAAAACACAGTCTTTTAATAAAGTGGATTCATATGATATTAATACTTTATTCTTAAGGAAAAATAGTTTTAATTTAGTATATTTATGATCTATTTTCCCTCTGTCCTTGGTTGGATCTGCTTTTGCACAAGTTGCATGGTTAAAGCTTTCTTTTACTGGCAAAGGCAGCAGCACATAAACACAAAATGGGAAAATTTTATCCAGATTAGTCACTTGATATGTGTGCTTCTGACTAGGACTTTTTCTTCATAATAAGTTTCTCTTTTTAAAAAAAAAAATACAGAATACATATAACATTTTTCATGTGGAAAATGGAAACAAAATCATTTTAACTCCCTACAAATATTTGTGCATGTATCCTATATTATCTTAGTATTATAAATTACAGATTTAAAAAAAATAAAGAAAATACAATATTTTTCATAAGATACGCTTTCCATGAAGTTGTTTTTATTGCTATTTGAGAGATCATATCATCACAGAATCATAGAATGGTTATAGTTGGAAAGGACCTTAACGATCACCTAGTTCCAACGCCCCTGTCATAGGCAGAGACACCTCCCACTAGACCAGGTTGCTCAAAGCCTCATCCAGCCTGGCCTCGAACACCTCCAGGGATGGGGCATCCACAACTTCTCTGGGCAACCTGTGCCAGTGCCGCACCACCCTCACAATGAAAAATTTCTTCCTAATATCTAATCAAAATCTACCCTCTCTCTGCTTAATACCATTACCTTTTGTCCTGTCACCACACTGCCTGATAAAGAGTGCCTCCCCATCTCTCCTGTAGCCCCCTTCAGGTACTGGAAGGCTACTATTAAGTCTCCTCAGAGCCTTCTCTTCTCCAGGCTGAACAACCCCATTTCTCTCAGCCTGTTCTCATAGGGGAGGTGCTCCAGCCCTCTGACCATCTTTGTGGCTCTCCTCTGAACTCACTCCAACAGGTCCATGTCCTTCTTATGTTGGGGGCCCCAGAGCTGGACACAGTATTCCAGGTGGGGTCTCACAAGAGCTGAGTAGAGGGGGAGAATCACCTCTCTCAACCTCCTGGTGAGAACTTTTCACTACTGTGGAAACAAATAACATGAGAATTCTGTGTCAATGAAACCGACTGAAAACGTCAGCACTTCAAGTAGAAAAGGATGTATACTTATAAGCTTAACATTTCATATACATATTAATGTAACACTGACCCTTAATTAAAGAACATTTCTGCAAGGGAGATGAGTTTTGTTTTACAACCTGCATTTTCTACTGCATGAGATCATCTTTTACTTTTTCCTTAAACACTGTTCACTGAACTGAGAGTAATATCCAAATTCTAGGGTAAAACACCACAAAAATTTACTTCATACTTACAGTGGTGTAGACACAATTTACTTTTCATGCAAACTGCCTTGTTCTAATGTACCAGATACTTCTATAATGTATATCTATATTGCTAAAGTGAGTATCAAAAACCTCCACTGTAAATGTCATTTTGAAGAGATAATAACTCAGGTTTGGCATTTTTTTGTTGGTTTTGGCTGTTTGTTTGGTTTTTTTTAAAATGGAACTGACACAAAGATCTAACTCCCATAGTCATCGAATCAATGATTGATATGGAAGGGCACTACACCATCTCTTCTTGCAACTCAAATTGAGAGGTTCTGATTGACAGCTCTCTGTCAGGTGGAGAAGTGTCTCACCTATTAATATCCTATAAAAGATCATAGGCAGCCATTTATCTCCTGCCAAAACTCTTTGAGGAGAATCATACCTGACTACTTTTACTATGACCTTGAAAATGGAAAGATAACATCAGCTAGTAGGTAGGAGAGAAATGTGACAATAACAGCTTAACTCCTGAAATACTTTAGTAAACAGCTCCTTCAAAAATGTATTGCCACTATCTGTTACACAGTTCAAACCCACAGAACTTCAGTTTCAAAGGGTCTGAGATTTACTTACTCAAACATAATAAAAAATTTTTATCCAAACATGAATCACACAGACTTTACAATTTCCTGAGTAGCCAGAGAGATTACACACATCTGACATAAGACAGTCTTCAATGCATGCTTAACTGATCTTGAAAACATCTAAAAGCATCCCGGTGCTGGTGACTCTTCTTCATTGCATGTTACCAGATTCTCCTTATTTAGCATGAGGAGTCTTTACCTTATTCAAGGACTTAGTTCAGGCTTGAACTATAAACCACAGCTTTAAAGTGGGTGAGAGAGCAAGTTACAACTCACCTGACCTTGTGCTTTGCACATGGGTCTTTTAACTTTTTTTTCCTGAAATTTTCTCTAAATACTTGTTTCAATGAAAACTTCTTGGATATTTTTGTTTGCTTTTCTGTGCACTGATGTTAACCTAAGACAACGGCAGCAGAGCAACAGGTGGGGCTCTGAATTTGTTGGCCTGCACCTGTCAAATCAAACTGAGATTTCAAGTATGATTGTGTACTGGAAACATGATCAGAACACACCATGATGGGGATCCATTTTACTTTTTCACAATAAATTCTAAATTAATATGATGTCCATGTACGATCTTTTTGGACAACTTTTTTTTTTTCTCCTAGATGTGAAATTATCCTTACCTTTTGCCACAAAGTACATATTTTTAACCTGTTAGACCACTACAGCCCCTATAGCAGTGGAGGTACCATTGTTCACATCAGCTGACTATGAAAGCAGATACACTTGGCTTTGCCTGAGCTGGGCAAACATTGTGCTGTGTTAAAATTGGGTTAATAGTTGCTCCCACAATCCTCAAAGTCTTATAAATTACAGCAAATTCATCCATAAGACTGAAATAGCCTGCAAAAAACTATTTGAAATAGTTATGGGGTAAAAAAGATTACCTCTTATAAGAATAAGTACATATGATTTAATGAGACCTTTTCATGTGAATACGTCACAGTACACGGGAGTCACAGATAAGATGAAAGAAAACAAAACTGTTGCAGTACACAATCTGAAGATACATTTTCAGTACAAATATTTAACAACCTGTCAAAACAGGCAGATGCAAATCTAACTTCTCCTTTCCTGTAACTTTCCTTTTTCTAAAAACATTCTTCTTATTCAGTATCCCCCCCAGTGGATAAATTCATTCAATGCTTATTCCCTAGGGCTCCTTCTTCTACTTCCAGATTAGATCACTAATTAGACAGTGCTCTTTGTTACTGGACTGACTGAATGTACTTCATTAAACCTTGTTCCTGCAGAAGGAAAAGGTAAACTTTGGTGTCCTGGGTTAAGCTGAGACAGAGTTAACTTTCTTCATAATAGCTTGCAAGAGGCTGTGTTTTGGATTTGTGCTCAGAAGAAAGCTGATAAAAAATGATGTTTACGCAGCTGCCAAGGTCTTTCAGCTTCTCTGGCTGTCTGCACACAGGAGAAGCTGGGAGGGAGCACAGCCCCAGTTACCAGCTCAGGATTTGATATTAGGTTCGGGATTGAGACCCAGAGTGGCCAATAATCTATTCCATAACATACACGTCACGCCCAGTATATAGGTGATGATCCTCTGGAAGATCAGACTCTTCTGGTTCCAGATCACTCTCCCAAGGCCTTCCCCCCTCCCACCCGGGTCAGCTCTCGGTCCGGGACGCTCGGACTGTTATCTCTGTTCCGTGAGTGCGGTTTCGGGACTCTCCCTGCTCCGGGATCGTTAGCCAGGAACAGGCTGAGCCTTGGTCATCTGGTGGGGGGGCAGTATCACTGTGTGTCACTCATGTGTATATTTGTATATAGTATTATTTTCAATAT